GGGATTAAGGCGGAGGGTGCCGTAGAGAGCAGACTTCAGAGGATGGGCACACCTGAGTATGGATCAGAGGAAATTGAGGAGCAGCCCACGGCAGAGCCAGGAGAGACACTCGAGAGGAGACCTCAGAGGTTGGACACGCGTGAGTACGTCCCAACGACAGAGGAATTGAGAGGCAGAATAGGACCTTGGGCTACTGGATCTGGGTCTGGGGGACCGGTTCGTGGGACAGAGCGGCAGGAGGGTGTTAGTACCTTGGTAGGACCTCCTTCTTCGCCATCTCCTCAGCCCAGAAAAAGGAAGTTCAAGAGAAAGGTAGATCAGCTATGTTTCTACTGCAAAAAGGACGTACATCTGGCTTTAGGCTGTCTCGAGTTTCTTGAGGATAAGGCAGCAGGGAAAGTCTCAGAGGTAGAGGGTAAAGTGTATGATAGACAGGGTAAGATAGTAGAGAAGTCCGCGAATGGACTTAGGGCTCAGTTATATAGGCAAAACCAGGAAGAATTGAGGAGGTAGGGTCGGTCTTGTCTATATAAATGAGCGAGTATTTTGAGAGGTATCAACTTGGGTTCTGTGTGTTACCGTTTTAGACTTAGAGGACATTTTGATGATTACTATTAATTTGGATCTGAACTCTAGTGTTTATACTGAAATTGGGGTTTTGAGGGTCAGGATGATTTAGAAGAGGGGTGTACATATTTAGGTAGCCTACGCCCTGACCTTTTGAGACACAAATCTGACATGTATCCTAGGGGCAGTTGTTAGTATAAGTTTGGTGTGGCGTATAAGATACTTTATTTTCTTTGAGTATATACTATTGATGAGGGTTTTAACCATTCATATATATGACGATCGCTTGTCACTCTCGCATGTGTGGTTGTACTCTGGTGTATGATGAGTTTTGTGCGGAAGATGTGTGTGTGACCAACATCTGCTGTATTATTGATACTATGAGTATGATTGTAAGTAAAACTGTCTACTCCTCGGTATACTTGTGCGACCTGCCCACGGCAGCTGATAAGGCAGGGTATAAGAGGAGGAATCGCAGTCCGTCTGTGAAAATTATCTAAGTTATGATGAGGACCCATAGGATGGTCTCTCAGTGATGTTCTGTTTTATGAACGGACCCCCTTAGATTTTGGAAAAGGGGGGATGTTTTTGTGATATTTTGTGATGTGACGAAACCCCTCGTAACTTTGGAAGAGGGGGTGTTTTGTTTATGATGAAACCCTCATGAAATCTGGAAGAGGGAATGTATTGTTTTATGGCGAGACCCCTCGCGATTTTTTTGGAAGAGGGGGTGTTTTTATTTATGATGAGAGCCCCTTTTGGATTGTTGGAAAGAGGGACTGGTTTTTGGTTGAAAGACTCACCCTTGAAAGTGAGTACATTGATTTATGGCATGGTGAGTTGTTTGATGGATAATAAAGTCTGACGAAAAAAGTCACCTTTGTTTAGAATGTTTGAGAAAGTCGCAATGAGTGCAGGGCAAGAGATGTCTCAGAGTGGGTGGCTGCTGGCTCTGATCAAGTCAGAGGTCACGGCCTGGTGGACCTAGCGGTGGTTTTGTTTATGAGCGTGCGAAGGATGCCAGGCCTATTGTGGAAGGGTTGGTAATTGCCTTCAGACCCCTGCGTGATCACGCAGTGGGCCAGTGATTTTGTTTTGCGACGCCCCGTCTAACCGCCTGTGCTAGTTCTCGGACATATTGAAGGAAGGCCAAGCTAACGGAAAAGAAGTTAGTACCTCTAGGGCGTAACCCCATTGGATGGCTGCTAGCCGGCGCAACCTGGCTGCGGGACCGCGAGGTAAGAGTTTAAGGGGGGTTGCCCGCCCCAGTGAAATTACCCCGCGGGATAATGATGGTTGAAATTTTTTTTGAGGGAAATCCTGATTGAGTGCTTACCAAGAAGTAACCTATCGTTGCGTAACCAACGAAGGTACTGCCGTTAAATAACAATGCGGTGGGCCGTGGTCCTGGTCCGATCAGCCAGGCTATGGTGGGCCAAGGTGGAGACCTAGCCTTTCTGTACTAGACTGCAGAAAGAGCTGAGCGAATATTAAGTATACATATATACTTGCGTGTTTTTTTTTATTGCGAGGAAATTTAGAGAAGAAAGGCGAGAGTGCCTTTAAAAGGTCTCGATTAAGGCCCGCGTCCCTAGTTTTTGCCAGGACTAGGGACACCCAACGAAAAGCCGAAGTTGTCTAGGACCAGGGAGAGGACGATTGGGAGGGTCTTTGGAACTTATGCTACCAGTGTCCTAATTTCTGGACGGTGTGAGGCCCAGGTTAGAAACCTGGCAGCATATAGTTGTGAAGACATGGTTTGATGGAGGCCTCTACCCTGTGTTTGTAGGCTAATCGGATTGACTTTGTTTCGTCAGCATTTGGAATGTGGATGGATTTATAGCTTTTTGATTTGGCGAAGCGACGGGGACGTCGCTTAATATGGTCCGGTAAGCGCTGTCGGTGCGAATACCCTTACAAGGGTATCCGCCCTGGTTTTGCAAGTGACAGAAAATAGTTTTAATCTAGAGTTTAAGTATACCGCGCCAGGCGCGGCCGCGTCTCTAATTTATGTTGACGGGATGGTTGACTAGAATAGAGAGTGTGTGAGCGCGCAAACTTGAGGCGCGCGTGATTTTATTTATTGATGATTGAAAGGCCGGCGTGATCGCCGGCGGGCTCGGTCCGGCTAGTACCCTGTTAGACTAACGAGGAACGGGCCTGAGTTCGGGTTCCTACGTATTCGAGATGTCGGTGGAGTCTTCTTTCCACCACGCCAGGCCTGTAGCGCGGACCGAGGAGTTCAACTTGCATGCTAGCCGGTGGGTGACTGGCCCACGAAGCAGAGGGAAAACCGAGTGGCGGGGAACTTCCTGCGGGTGTGCTGCCCGTCAACCACGAGCTGTTGTGGGAGGCTCGGGTATGAGCATGCCATTCAAAGTCCGGAGATAGGGGGGGGACACTGGGCGGAGATCCGCAGCGGTACAGGCTGCAAACAACCTTCCCCACGAAACCCGCCCCTACCTCAGCCCCAAGAGTTCGCACTTGAATATTTGCCACTACCACAAGATCCGCACCGAGGCCCGTGTCACCGAGCCCCACACTACACATCGCAGTGAGGCCGCGCCCCGATCTTGTGCTTTGCTATGTGGGAAAGGAGTGTGGAGACTGGGTGTGAGGCGGGGCCAGGAGTACTAAAGAGCGAGCTCGCAGGGGCACCGCTGCGCAAACCGTCGACGRACTCAGGGAAAACAACGAAAGAGTTAATCGGACTGTCGCTCGACAGAGAACYGGAGCCGAGGTATTGTGTAGGAAGGTGGAGAGCGGTCGGACGGCGCTGTGGGACTTGTTGTACCGAGCCCAGCCTTCGTGCAAAGCGGGTGACGACAGACAACAACGGGACAGGYGAAGACAGGTAAGGAGGGGGAGTGAACCTAGGTAGGGAAGGGCGCCGGGTGCATCCGCGAGTGGGCAGCAAAAGGCGCAGAGGGTGGCGGACGCTAGCGGGGAAAAGGGAGACGAAACGGGGCAGGACCCTGCGGCAGGTGCATACGGAGCGGAGCGCAGTCAGGAAAAGGCAAGCAGATAGCGAAGGAGGYTGGGAGGAAGAAGAACGGACCCGGACGAAAAGGTGTACAAGGTGCATACAAGTGGTGAACAGGCTAGGAAGGACGGGAGCTAAGAGGAGCGAAAGGTAGCAGGAGAGGAAAAAGGTGGGGCGTACAAAGGGGCGAAGTAGAAGAGGAGATAGAAG